TTATGGGAAAAAGCGTATGCTGAAAGGATAAACAAGACTCTTTTCTCCCCAGAGAAGGATAAACAGAGAAATTGCATTGAGGATAAGAGCAGGTCTCCCACAACATCCTCATAGGTAAATTGAGGAAGTGTGGTCTGAATGACCGAGTAGTGAGGTGGATTGTTAACTGGTTGAGAGGAAGAAGTCAGAGAGTTGTAGTCAATGGGGCAGAGTGTAGTTGAAGGTCTGTGTCCAGTGGAGTCCCTCAGGGGTCAGTGCTGTGGCCAGTGCAGTTTAATATACTCATCAACGACCTGGATGAGGGAACAGAGAGCACTGTCAGCAAGTTTGCTGATGACACAAAACTGGGAGGAGTGGCTGACACACCAGAAGGCTGTGCTGCCATTCAGGGAGACCTAGACAGGCTAGAGGGCTGGGTGGGGAGAAATCTTAAAAAATTCAACAAGGGCAAATGTAGAGTTTTGCACTTGGGAAAGAATAACCCCATGTGCCAGTATAGGTTGGGGATTGACCTGCTGGAGAGCAGTGTAGCGGAAAGGGACCTGGAGGTTCTGGTCGACAGGACGATGACCATAGACCAGCAATGTGCCCTCGTGACAGAGAAGGCCAATGGCATCCTGGGGTGTATTAAAAGGGAAGTAGCTAGTAGGTCGAGTTACATCCTCCTGCCCCTCTACTCCGCCCTGGTGAGGCTACATCTGGAATATTGTGTCCAGTTCTGAGCCCCTCAGCTTAAGAGAAACAGGGAACTGCTTGAGAGAGTCCAGTGCAGAGCCACAAAGATGATGGAGGGAGTGGAACATCTCCCTTATGAGGAAAGGCTGAAGGATCTGGGTCTCTTTAGCTTGGAGAAGAGGAGGCTGAGGGGTGACCTCATTAATGTTTATAAATATGTCAAGGGGGAGTGTCAGGAGGACAGAGCCAGGCTCTTCTCAGTGATGTCCAATGACAGAACAAGGGGCAATGGATACAAGCTGAAACACAGGAGGTTCCACAAAAACATGAGGAAAAGCTTTTTCCCTGTGAGGGTAACAGAGCACTGGCACAGGCTGCCCAGGGAGGTTGTGGAGTCTCCTTCTCTGGAGACATTCAAAACCCGCCTGGACGTGTTCCTGTGTGACCTACTGTAGGTGATCCTGCTCTGGCAGGGGAGCTAGACTAGACGATCTTGTGAGGTCCCTTCCAATCCCTGACATTCTCTGATTCTATGATTCTGTAATAACACTGTGTAACATTTGGGAAAGGGGGAAGACAGACAGGGTGAGGAAAGAAGGACACAAGGTGATGTTACAATGTGCACAGCACCGTCTCATGCCTGCTGGCACCAGCCAAACAGGAGGGCACACACAGCCTGCCTAGGACCTCATGGGTGGAGAGAGGCCCTGAGCGTATTTTTCTCATGGGAAGTGCAGAAAGCAGAATCTGTCCCAGAGGAGTGAGTATCAAGGGGCATGAAACTAAAGGAGAGTGAAAATTGTCCAACATTACATCAACTTTCAAACCCCCATAGTGAACAATTGCATCAAAATTCACACCCACAAAAATAACCCGCCTACGGCTCATAGTTGCTTGCTTATGTGAATACTTGTTTTTTAAGAAAAGCATTTCAGACTTTGATGACTGCTGAGAGTGGCAGGAGTTGATGAGGTCCTGCTCTGCAAACTTCTTTCATCATTTTTGGTAATTACAGATAAAGGCAACTTTGGCGTGGAGTTGCTATTCTTTCTGGCATGGATTGTTACAAGGCTTCTAACTCTAGCTGAGCACAAATACACATCTACTTTAGACCTTTGAGGGAGGAGACTTGAACTAAGTCCCTCTGCAAACTGGAGCCTGGAGAAATAAATACCAGGGGTTTGGATTGTTTACATGAAGAGAAGTGAATATTTTAATATATTAAAAGTTGTTAACCTCTTTCAGAAACTTTACTGGAAACAAGTGTCTGGGTTTGAAGAGTGAAACATGATTCCCAATAGCTTGCTTTTCTTTCATATTCACATGATAATAATTGCCTGTCAAGCCAAACCATCAGCTACCTTTTTCCTCTGCAAAATCCCCTGCAGTGTAAGATAACAGAGAAGACTAGAAGTACTTGCTGCTCCCACACTTTGTGTAGTCTCCAAGATGAACTTTCCATTTTGGGTGACTTCTGACTTTTCCCAGTGGCTGTGGGTACTCCTTGTTTCATACCCAGAGGTCAGAGGATGTGTGGTGACAGTATTTCATAACATTGTCTCACTAATGCGTTGTCATCCTTCTTTGCATGTTAAATGTTCTGTGCTGTGGCATTCTGGAAACATCCACACTGAGCTATGGGATCCACACCATTAATTCAAACCCTGTGTACCAGGGATAATCTACTCTGGCCTGATGTCATACAAAATGCTGTGTAGTCTCCTCCAGTAAAGTTCACTAGATGGTTTCAGATTCCTTATTTTAAGCATATACAGGGTCAGAAACTTGTAAAACTTGTAAAAATCAAAATTTACGTCCCTGAAAAGTAGATACTTATTTGTTTTTCAGAGTCTTTTAACCATATATTATTTTTTTCCTTCTATAAATTCTATGATTTTGAATCCAAAAGTAGATATGTGAGTCTAAGAAAATCTGGAATACTGTCCTGAAGCAGCAGATCTCTGAAGCACAAACTACTCTACAAATCTATTGTGAAAATATATCAGCTCTGGCTGATAGCAGTGTGCCTGCTTTTGGTTGATGGGTGATAACTGGGAAACTAATGAGCTTAACTAACAAAACCACAAAGACTGGCTTTGGAGGGGGGACAAGTGTAGGTTTGCAAGAGTGTTTCCTAGTATTCATGAATCAGTACAACGCTAGCTGCATCCAGGATTGCACGTTTTTTTCTGAACAATCCTGGCCATTAGCCAAAGGAGAGAAATTGGAAGAAAAGTCTGTAGAGTTCTGTAGCACAGAGCTAAAAAAAGTACTTATTCTTTTCCCTAATGCAAAGAATAAGTGAAAAATAAGTGGTGAGGTTTTTTTTTCATTTCAAAACAGACAGTACGAAGAAGCTGTGAAAAGAAGAAACTGTAAGGCAGCTGCTAGAAAGGAAGTTTGAATTTCCCTGGCAGTTCAGTGTTTCTGAGGTAAATAGATCAGAGTAATTGAAATTGTGGTAACACCAGATCTGTGTGAAGCAGACATGTCTGATGGAGTTTATGGCCATTTCTGAGAGACAGATGGGCCATGTATCATGCTTGCTGAGCAAGGTATTCAGTGTGGAGTACATGTCCTGCAATAGGACTGCCCACATGCTACGTAATATACCCTTTTCTTTGCTATCTATCAGTGTAAATGAAGTGGATGAGTAAATAGGCTTAGCCTGCACCACAGTATCTCTACCAGCTTGTCTATACTGCTCAAGAAAGACTGGGATAGTGGCGAGGTTTCTTGGGTATTTTTCGGGCTTTGAGTTCATAGTGTATTGTGAATATAATTTTTATTATCGTACTGCTAAAACAATTTTTTCTAGTGCTCGATACTCTGTGCAGAATTTTTTCTTTGGTGCATGCTTATAATGATCAAAGTTTAAATGAATTAATAGCATTATAAAAGCATTGAATTAGTGGTGTTTCTGTCACGCTTTTTAATAGCATTTTTTGTATGCCAAACATTACACGACAGAATATGTTATCCTTCGGCTTACATTTCTTCTGAAAAAGGGATAGGGATTATTTGCTTGTTTATCTTCTCCTGTGTTCTTCTACACTACTGTGGTATGTTTGCAAAAGTGTGGTTTGCCCTAGTTTTGTATTCATGCAGGTATACTGCATGAATACTGGAGGAATTTCTCTTGTGGGTCAAGGTGGGAGGAAGGATGACTTCAATAATTTAAAGGAAGTCTGTTCAGTATATTTCAGAGTTAAGTCAGTATGGAAAAAGCTTTTCTGTTGTTTTTTTAAAAAAAAAAATAAGGAAAAAAGAACTACAAAAATGCATGCAGATGCTGTCCTTTCTCTTGGGTAGTTCAAAATGGTTTGGATTAAAAAGTTCAGTCTTGGCAGGCATTTAGTCCTCAAGGAATGTGTACTTGTTAAATTCTGGCCAAAAAGAAAGCAAAAGAAAAAAAAACCCCAAAGTTGTGAATTTTAGAAATTAGAAATGTAAGGAATTCTATTCTTTTGAAGGATCATTTTTAAAAGCCAAACCCTGCATTCTGGTTTATACTGAGGACCTCCACAGAGCATGCTGTCCGAACTCACAGAATACATGAAATTTCACCTAAAGTCAAATACTTGGAACACACGCTGCTGAGTGCTAAAAGATATCTGGATGTTGACCTTTCTTCTGGGAGCCCTGCCAGCATCAGGGCTGGTACGGGACTGCTGTGGGGGAGGTAGAGGAGAGTCATGGCAAGCGCAGGTCAGGGCACGTGCTCTCCTTGACCTCTGCTGAAGTCAGCAGCTGCTCTCGGGATGCTGTTTTGCAGCAGGCATCTGGGAGCAGTGACGGGCTGGTGGATCAGGGGCAAGTTTAATGCTTTCCTTCCCACCTCGTATCGAATTGGGAAAAATCTCTGTCCTGCTAGGCTGTTATTTAACGTTGCTGAAGGCAGCTTTTCTTCCCCACAGTGCACAGGTTGCTTGCCAGCAGGCAATGCCCAGCTGCTCAGACTGTGTCAGTGCTAAGGTGTGTGCTTGGGTAGATGCAGACCTATGCCCTTGTGAAATCATTGTGAATAGTGTTATTAATGTATTTCATGTTCATTTCCAGCTATGTTCTGTACTTCAACCTCCAAAACTGACACCACCCTCTAGAAACTCATTTCTAAAGCAGAGGTAGGAAACCGAGGAGTTGTAGGATTCGTATCTCAGTGCCCATATAGGGACAGAGAGCCCTTTACCTTGGGGAAGAGGGTTGGTAGGGGTTACTGATTAGAGATCTTTGTAGGAAAGATGCTGACACAGCAAACATTATGTGTCTGCTCTTTATATTCATCTGTTAATAGTTTTGGGTTTGTTTTTAATTTTTGGACACAGGACCTGTGAAGGGCGAAACATCCGGTACAGGACGTGCAGCAATGTGGTAAGTGAAATACAGCTTTGCTATGGTACCAGTCATCACATACAACAGTCACATTCATATAACATAAAATAATTTGTTAACACGATGATGAGAATATTGTAGCTATCTAAATTGCCTTCATCCCACAGGACCATAGGCAAACCTTTTTCTGTTTCTTGAAAACCTGGAGAGATTATAGCATAGCATGATGCTAAAACTGTTTGGAAGGGATCGAAGTCATGGCCTTTCTGAACAGAATGTGAGTGGAACTTCAGAGTTGCTCTTTACAATCCTCCCAGCAGAACTAAGACCACTGGTCTTCCCAGTATTACTTTGGTAACCAGTTGGTTCACACTGGGCAGTCTGTCAGGCTGGAAGATTAAGCTTTTAAGGATTGAAGACAAGTCAGTAAGACATATATGTTTCTGCTCACCCATATCCTCCCAGCATTGAAATTCTGTTGTATGTCATACAAAAACAGTGTTAGATACCTTGCATCAGTGTTTTGACCTTTCCGAAGGCTATTGCTTGTTTTTCATCTGTGGTGAATATAGTTTTCAATGCAATAAAATAAAAAACTTCAACTTCTGTCCTCACCAAAGTGAAAGTGTGTCTTCACTGGTGAAAATGGAAATAGAAGCTTTTATATGGAAAGTTTTATTGGGTGTCAGGAGTAGTAAAAGCTCTCAAATTACATAAAGAAATGTCAGTTTTACCAGTAAAGATGGAAGATGAAATCTAACATGCACTGGACCAAGATTTCTCATGTCTGATAGGGACATACTCAGCCTTTCAATAGATGCTTTGTCTGAAAGAGTTTAAAAGTTTAAGGCAAAAAAGTGAATTAATTCCCTCATATTAAGCTTATATGTTCTTTGATAGACCATAGATCATAATGAAAGAAACAGCTTCTGCTTGAGTTGCAGTCTCCCATGCAGTAAGATTTCCCACACTTATAAAATTTGTTGTGAGTGTATCCTATGGGTTCCTAAAATCTGCCATTAGTTCAGACATCTGCTTCACTAACTAACGACAACTAAGGAAGTCAATAAATAGGTCTGCTGGGTGATTGACAGTCTAATTTCCATCTCTGAGGCACTTAGGCAACCCCTTGACTGTGGAGAGAATGGGGAGGCTGATTTGTGCCATTTGAGTTGCATGCTGTACCTCTCTGGAATATGACACAAAAAGAAAATAAATAGTAATACTTTTAAAGGCTAACTGAGCTAGAATTAGACCCTTTAGTTTTGTTTTGGTTTATGAATGCATACACATTGTGACAGTCCCCTTACCCTTGTGTATCTTAAGAACAGTGAGACAAACCAGCATCCTGCTCCATCCCATTAGGCTGTTCCTGGATCACCCTGATGAGAGGCTGGGGTTCTACCTGTGTTGCAATCCTTATTTTGGAAACATTTTGCTTAACCTTCTGAGATAAGGATTAATTTTTTTAATGTTATTTTTAGTTTAGGTTCTGTTTTGGAAATGTGCACCTGAACAGTATTCCTTCAAAATAAAACCTTGTATATTTCCGTCAGGCAATTGCCTTTACATACCTTACACCTGGCAATACTGGCTCCAGACTTTCCAACATAGCATGCAGCTGCAGAACTTAATTAATTATTTCCTACCAAATAGTCCAAACTGAAACTTTCAAAGTGTTTTACGGTGCTGAAATCAATGACAGTTTTGCCACTGAATTATGAATATCCAGGATTGCATTTATGATTTTAACCCTTTTTCTTGGACAGAGGGACAATGAGTTGTGTTACATTTCTCTTTTTACTTAATAAAAGAATCAAACAAGCTTTCATTTGCTTGGTTTTGGTAAACTTGCAAAACTACTAATAAATCAAACTGTTCTTAAGGATCTGACTGCATTGTAGCTTCAACCAGGACATCCAAATATGGCTTTATGTCATAAGGAAATTACTTAGCTGTATTAATTTCCAAGAGATTTGATTTCAGGGGAAAGTATTTTCTATTTGTGAAGTATGCTGAGTCTTTGATTCAGATATTACAGCCTCCCACTTTCCATCTTTAGTAATCTGAGATACCATGTAACAGTATTCACAACATCAGTCATTACAAGGGACTGCCACCATCATCAGCATCAGAATTTGTGGTGGGATCCTGCCACAGCCAAGGTGGTTCTCAGCCCCATGTTTCTGGGGCTAGGTACTATTTTGAAATACTCTGTCCAGAACCAGTTAAAAGCTAAACCAGTATAGGAACCTCACACATACATCTCTGCACTGAAATTCATTCTACTACTGAATTGTGTAGCTGTATGACTGAAATACTGCTTGTTTGTTTCAGAAAAGTAAAAAAAAAAAAAAACACATATGATTTCTTTTAAAGAAATTTACTGTTTTTGCCTCCAAAATCCAATGACACATACACACAAATTGGTTCTTGGAAACAATTCGTTAAGCTTATGGCTTGTCATGAAATTCTGCACTGGAAAAGGCACACAATTTTGTGTGTATTTTTGTTAACTCAAACTTTTCCTTTTAAGACTTCATCCACAAAAACAGTGAAAAACGAGGATGGAACTTCCTGGCTCAATGAGACCTGCTGTATTAGGAAATAGTCTATTGCTTTAAATGAAAATGAGAGAAAATCTCCCCATTCCGCTCCTGCAAATGAGGCTAGCTATCAGGCACTGTGGAAAATTTCTTTTGGATTCTTGTGGAAATCAGCGAGTTCTGAAATGTAAGCTTTCATTAGCATTAGCTTGTGCATAACTTGAGGACTGATGTTATTGTTCATAAAATAACCAGTCTTTTTTTATTTTCTGAAAACAGTTTTTCTGTGAACTGAATGTTTTTGTTTATACAACTGTCCTCTTACAGGAAAGGAAGGGTAGTCACATATACTAAAAGTAAACCATTTCAAAAGTGAAATTGAAGAATGGGACAATACTTCTCAGAGTCTGGCAATGAACACATTTTCATAGGCACTATCATTTGCAAGATTTGCTACAGCTGTTTTTAATTCATCCTGAAATTAAATTACAGGGGAGAAAAAAATGAATTAGATAAAGAAAAAGAGAGCTGAGGGGAGAGAGTGGAGCGTCTGTTTCTTCAGGGACCTGTATTATTTGAGGGATACTGAACCATGTTGTATAGTATGGACTGCTGTGTATATAGCTTCTGAGCAGTCCTTAAAAGAACAACTCCCATCAAGTGTGTTCACCACTTGCATTGCCTGGTGTTGATCAGAAACTGGAAATATTATGGGTATGAAGCCACATGTGTAAATAGTAAAAGAAGGAATGAGGGAATCTGAAGATGATTTAGGGTTGAATTGCATCTGCTTTTTTCTTCTTACTATTCATATTGACTCCAAGTATGTTTCCAGTCATTTTAGAATATAATCATGGGGGGAGAGAGGGAGTAATTTGTTTTGCTTTAGAAGATTACTCTGAATGCAATGAAAACATGTTTTTTTGTGTGTCTACTAAACATTATGCAAAATAAACAAAAATATTTTCAAAATGTGCATAGGATTTTTTAACTAGTTCTTTTTTATTTTTCAGGCTACCACAATCTCTGTTCCTTCTTCTAGGCAGAACTTTCTTGCCAGGTTCTCTCCAGCTTTTGTACCACACTAATGCCTCCTCATTTGCCCTTTCTCTTTTTTCAGCCCTTCTGCTAATATTCTGGCTTTTTCTTTCTTTTTCCTTATTTGCATGAAAATGTTCTGAAGGATATTTATTTAAATGTGAAGGTCTTCATACTTTCATTCTTCATTCTCAATTATCACACCTTGTTTTGCGAATGAAAATATTTTTATTTTCCCTGATATTTTTTCCTTTTATTACATGGCTTTCTGAGTCAGACTAGGAAAAAAATAAAGAAATGCATGATACCGGCACTTCATTCCCAAAGGACTTTGCTTTTCATATTTACTTGCTTATACCTGCAAGCATGATGATAAATACCACATACAAATCTGCTCTTGAAAGTAGACAATGCTGGAAGTAGTAATAGTTAATAGTTCTTCCTACAAGTTTTAGTGCGGTTCTGTTAAGCCTAAGATAAAATCTGTAGATGGCAAATCCCATTAACCAGACCACCAAAACTTGCAAACACCATCTGCAGCTTTTTTTTTTGTATACCTTACCTTCTTCACCTGGCTGAAATACCAACTATAACAACATCCCCCAGTTTTTGACCTATATTCAGACAAGCTACTTCAATACCTGTTTCCTATCAGCTCAGTCTGCCATTTTACACACCACCAATACTGCCTGTCTTACTTTCAATAAAATGTCACGATCTTCTTTCCGTGAAGCAAAGCTTGTCCTATTGGAAAATGCGAGACCTAAACTTCCACATAAGTGCATAATTCTCAGCACTGGCTTGTGTGCATGAGAAGCATCATCACCAGGTAGAATTTTTCCAGAGCTACAGTAATTATTAAGAATATTTAATTTTTCTGCACTCTGATGGCAGAAATGCCATATGAAGTCTTTTGCAATCGAGCTTCCAAGTTTGCATTTTGCAGCAAAATTTAAAAAAAATTTAAAAATAAAAAAGTATAAGCACTATGCTTTATCTCCTTACTAACACCAGATTTACTTAATGTCGGTTTAGTATTTAAGCAGAAATTCTTCCAAACATAAATCTCTTATTGTGACTACAGTCTGTTCTTCAAAATGTTGGATTTTAATAGCTACCATATTACTTCTGAATGTGTGCATTTCAGAACTTCAGTGCGTTGTCTAGAAATTATGTCTTCATACTTGAAAATAAGTGGTTTTACTATGTTGCTAATGTTAGCAGCTTTGACTTCTGAATTTGCCGTCTTCTCACCAAGCAGATTTGTAAATCTTTGACTACTGAAACATTGAACAAAAAGCCCCCATAGCTGCCATTCTGTGTAAAAGTATCAACAACTTAGATCCCTTCCGTAACAGTGGCATTTCAGGACTCTGGATGATTGATAGATTTAAATTCAATATTTCAATCAATTATTTTATTTATTTATTTGTTTGTTTGTTTATCTATCTATCTATCTATCTATTTATTTATTTATAGGATCTCTTTAATCTGCCAGTGTGGCATCCCTGGTGTTTTAGAAAAGTGTACTTTAATGTTATGTATATGTATTAGTTTTGGCCTAAATATTTAGAAGATTTCCAAGCTAAAATACAGTTACTGTATCTAATTTAAAAACTTCACTTTAATATTTGAAAGGTATGAAGAAACGAAAATTTTAAAATGGCATGAAGAGCTACATATCAACTTATTTGCCAAAAATATAAACATACTTTTGTTAAAAAAGAGGTATTTGGGGGTCAAAATTTGATTTTATAAATATTTCTAATAACAAATATTCAGGGAGGTTTAGATTTATACTCACTGTTTTAGCCCTCATCTCCACTCCATGTTTCTATAATACAGAGTAGAAGTATCTGATGACATTCTTCCATTAACTCGGTTCATATTACTCCTCTCACACTTCTCTCTGTCAGACATTGCTGTGTCTTAGCATTATCAGAGAAAGCTACAGTATGAGCCCTTCTCAGTATAAGCAGCTAAGTGTGATCCTAACCTATTTATAAGTTCACAGGAGTAGGATAGTGAAAAATCTGTCTGCAAGAAGCTTAATTCAAGCAGGGCACTCAAAAAGCTTCAAGGCCAAGCAGAGTTTTCACTAAATCCCTAGATCTCCTAACTCTCTGTACTTTTATCTAATGTTCTTACTTAGTCTTGGGCAAGCCCCTGCTTGAGGACCTCAGGCTTTCTTGCCTCAGGAGGGAAATGGGTGCAGCTGAAATGCCGTGTGTACTTCATGGAACTGGTTCAATAATCTGTTCTGTCAGATGCTGCACAGAGTAGTCCAGTTGTTAGTCATTTTTTGCACAGAGGAAACGCTCCAGGTATAGTAAATCATTCTTGGCGTCTGCAAATATACAAGCACACATATTGTAAACTGTTTTAAGGTTCCTCGACTGTTTCCACCTATCGCAGCTTAGATATGATCTTCCATATTTCACCCACTAAGTAAACTTTAAAAAGCCTGACCCTCTTTTGTCCCATGAAATCTGATCTACCTATCACCATCAGGAGACATCTGGGATTCATCTTATCTTTTCCACCGGTTTGTTGATTAATAGAAATTGTTTTGAATGAGATTCAAACATGGCAAAACTCCATGGACCTCATGAATTACAATAGGGTCAAACAAGAGGTCAAGTTAAAAAAAAAAAATTTGGATGTGAGGAAGTGAATGAAGCCATAATAATATGGCCGGCATTAGGTGCTTAAGAGGTGAAGACGAATCTCCAGTGTTTATTTTAAATACGTTTTATATATCAAAGGGGTTTCTGATCATCTTTGAAATGATATATATTTTCATTGCAGTGGAGGAAATCTTGACCTGATAGGATGAATTGAGATTATAGGTGTGGAGCACAGGTTCAGTGTTTCAAGAATATCTCATGAGCCTTCCCAAGCTAAAGGTCATAAAACAGCCATCTAAGACTCACAGAGTTAGAGGAGGAACAGTTGTTTCCTTTTCACTAGAAATCTTCTTCCCTAAAAAGTCTTAATGAACAGGAAGCTTGAAGATAAATGGACTTAGACAAGACTTTCAAGTTTATTAGTTCTTTCTGATTCTCCAAGGAGTGCAATGGCAGCAGTTCCTCTTGTCTGCAGGGGCCCACAGATAATTTCCAAAAGAAAATAAAACTGCAAAGATTTGAATAGAGGACCGAAGCTGGAGTAACCTGAAGCAGGATGGTAGTCCTTTTGCAGCCAGATACCAGTGCTGCGACATGCTCCATGCCAAACACAGGCCATGCGGCTGTGGTTAGCAAAATATCTTGCAGAACTACATAGCCCATGCAAAGATACAGTATCTTGCATTCACTGCAACAGTGACTGGGCCCTGACTTCTGGCTGTGTCAAAATGTGGGCACACCCTTGTCTGTCAGTCTGTTGTGTAGGTAGACATACTGCATGCTGTTAGATGGCTTCAGTGTCAGACCCTTGGGAGGAGCAAAACGTTTACTTCACTCAGGCAAACAAAGCAGTGCTAGCCGGCAGCTGTAGAGGATCCCCTTCCACTAAGCTTCCATGCACATACCAAAAATAGGCTGATTTTTTTAAAAAGGGGAGAAGACTTTGTGGAGTCAGAGTCTAGTTTCTCCTGTCCAGGAGCCAGCACTGCGGAAATGAGGCACAGGAAGACGGCCTGAAAATGGCAAATGCTCATATCTGAAGTTGTGCAAAGTATTTAGAAGAAAAGAACAGTTTATTACTTGAAAAAATACACCACAAAAACACTGGCTTTGCCTTATTTGTTACCTCGCCAACTAGAATACTCACTTATAGGCTGGGAGTTTATATTTGTCTTTCATTATACGATTGCACAAACTCCAGCACAAAGATGCTTTGATCCACACTGACATATAATACAAATGATAAATAAATTTTTTTGAGGGGAAAAAAAAACACAAACAAAAGCAACAACAAAACACAAACAACAAAAAAAACACATGTGGACAAGAGATTAATTAACAGTGCCAAGTTCTGTACAGATCCTACTTTTTCAGTCTCAGTGACCTGTGTCAAATGATGGGTAATATTTGGACTACTGCTTAACATTATCCATTTTTGCATAAAAAACACTACTTGGGATATGCAGGTATTATGTGTGTGGGAGCAAATACATGTACTTTCTTAACCAGAAGGAAAGCTCACCCTGAGGCAACGGGATCTTCAAGGCCTTCAGGTAGTTTTAGGATTCAGAGTTTCAATAGGAGAAATGCAGTGGGCCAGACTGTGACCCTGCTTCATATCTGTGTGCCAAGATAACTATGCACGTCTGCATTTTTGACTGCCTGAATGTATTCTTTGAATGGCTTCAGGTTTCGCATGAAAACTTTTTTGAACACAAACTCTACTATTTAAATCCATTGTTTTATTTTGATCATGATATCAAAGACTGAAAGTGTTTAACATCAGTCCTGGTCACCTGCCGTGTCCTGAAAGCTTGTTATATTGACTGTACATTTTTTCTTGCTTTCATTTAAAAATAAAATCAAACACAACAAACATACTATTGAATATTGTACAAAGCAGGGTTATGAACTCTGTATGTAGTGTGTTTTATTGGGCCTTTCTAACTTCGTAAAAATAAAGCTATTGCAAGCCAGGAAGTTTCGAAGGTGGAGCCAAGCTTGAACCAAACAAGAGAGTTGGCTTGGATCTCTGCAGCAAGCCTAAGCCAAGCCAACAGCCCTGACTGTATTCATTTATGGACAGAAAAATTCAGAGAAGGGTATGGACCAGAAGATTTTGTGGCAGGAAGGAAGCCCACAGTTTTCCTCTTTGCTTGTATCTTCTCTGTTTGCAAAAAGAGCTAAAATGGATCTTCAGTCAAACCGTAACTGTCTTGTCATCCTCTGTTTAAAAGCAGAACATAAAGACCAGTTTTTCTTGAATTACACACCTATAGGAGAATAATGAGTTTCCCACATATTTTTCTGCTCTCTTCACTCTGTGATAAGAATTATCGCAGATAAGAATAGGATGAGAAGACTGTGAATAAGGTTGTCATTAATGATGATTGAATTTCTATAGGATGAAGTATTTCAGGACAAACAGGAAATACAGGCATCTTACAAGGATGTTGTCTAGTTACATGGTTGCATAAACATCAGAATCTTTCCTTATCAAGTCTATAATAGACTTTTATGATTCTCTGTTAAAAAAGTTACAGTCCTTAAGCAAAGGGTATAGCAGATATTGATTTCCCATGTTATTAGACCAAATATCATTGAGGAGCAGATGCCCATACAGCAGCAAGGTGGAGCACTATGAGACCTTAATAATCTGAGGCAGCCATATTGCCAATGTTTGCTTTATTGTCACAGTTCTTACAATGTTTAATATTTTTTCCTAAAGCTTAGCTCCAGTATTCCTGTAATTATGTGAGAGATTCAGGTTACTTCTAAAAAAACCCTAAAGAATCTATAGCCTTTGTAGTTGCTTGCACAGGGAAACTTGAAATATTATTCTTCAGGATCAAAAACTGGAAAGGAAATAAAAAGAACTCATGTTTATTTTGCCTGGATTTTCATGATTCTGAAGCTCTTCTTGCTCTCTTGAGAACTCGACTCATGGTTTTCTGTGCTAAATGATGACAAGAAGGCGTATGAAGGTCAGAAAATCCTCACGTTCTTGTTAATAAGAGACTTTAAGTACTATGAGTGATCTTTATTTTTTACATCAGGTGTACTGGGTTCAGAGTAGGATTCATATGTCCCACAGGCCTCTAGAAGGATTAACAAAGGGGCTTTTCAAAGGTCTTCCCAGCAAAATAATAGTGAGTCATTAATTATGTGAGTTGTGAAATCTTAGGTTAAATAAATGCAAATATGTATCTTATTTTTGTCATTCCTGTTGTCCTACTAACTGATTTAGGTCATTGAAGCAAAAAAAAAAAAGCTAGTGAGGAGAGCTTAAATAAACAAACAATTAAATCATGTAATTCTTTTTTGCTTTCTCTTTAGACAAAGAGGAAAATTTGGCTGGAAGAGAGTGGCTGTGCACACACACTTCACATATGTGCACAAGTGGAAAGAGATTCAGCTAGAGCATTTCAGGGCTATGGTTAAGACACATTCAGTGCATTTATTATGTCCCACGCATGTTTACACATGGTCTTGAGGTTCTTTCCACTGTGGTGGAAAGAAAAAAGAAAGGTGTAATTATGTGTAGCTGTAGCTGTTTCGATCAGTCTTCTTTGTCTAAACAGAAAAACTCACTACATCTAGCAGCTATGGAGCACAGCTGGCTGCAGGGTACTGTGACTGCCTGTCCCAAATAGACCTGCTGACGTTTTTCTCTTTCATTTCTGCAGGACTGCCCTCCAGAAGCAGGTGATTTTCGTGCCCAGCAGTGCTCTGCTCACAATGACGTCAAGTATCAGGGACAATTTTATGAGTGGCTTCCCGTTTCTAACGACCCGGACAACCCATGCTCGCTGAAGTGCCAGGCCAGAGGAGCAGCTCTGGTTGTGGAGCTGGCACCAAAGGTTCTGGATGGGACCCGGTGCTACACTGAATCCCTGGACATGTGCATCAGTGGCTTGTGCCAAGTAAGGAGAGAAGGCCTACTCTAACACCTTCCCTCATCAATCCTTTCCTCAGATCTCTCTGTCACATGCTCACTCTCTCTCCTTCTTCATACTTACATCATTCTAGGGGCTTCATTTGAATCATCTGACTTCTTCTTTGTTTGGAAGAAGTGTATAAATTCAAAAGTTATGTTCTCACTTTATGCTGTATGCTTAGGTTTGGAGTTTTTTGAGGAATGCGTTCTCATTTTTGAAACTTTTTTGTAGAGTTTGCTGTAGTTGCAGATGTCATTTAAAAACATCATAAGAAAGTAATATTTTAGCTTTTAATTTGGATATACCAAAGTTTTACAAGTGTATGAAATTACATTATCTTAGAGGTTTGCTTCTTATAAGTCACAAACCCCATAGCACTAGGTGAGGTACTAAGTTGGAAAATCTGCCATTGATTTGCTACATGAGTAAGCAAGCTGCTACCTCTCCTTGGGCTTCAGCTTCCCTGTTTGTTAAAAGTGAGATAGAGGAACTTTTTAACCATTCACTTCAAAATGCATGGAGATCTACTGATCATTCAACCAGTTTATCAGCACCTAAATTTCTTCTTGTGTTACCTTTGTGCTTTTACTTCTACGTTGCTACTCTTCTGAAACTATTTCCTGAAATATGATGGAGTGGAGGACATTTGTGCCATCTCTGTTAAGTTCTGGATATACCTGAATCTCAGAAAAAATTGAGTCTAAATTCATGTTTCAGTGCCCAGTCTCCTTTGAATCTATGTAGATTTGATGTGTTGTTGGCTTTCTAGTGTATTTTCAACCACTTTATGTGCCCCTGGAAGCCTTCCTCCCTGTTGCCTTTCTCTTCAGTGTTCTATTCTGAGCCAGAAGGAGTCCTGCAGTAAATGATAAAGACTAGGTAGTTACCAGGCTATTCTCATTTGTGATCTGAAGAAGGCAATCACCTAGACCTCTTAACTCCTGCCGAGTGCACTTATATCTCAAAATTCTAGATTGAGACAGACTAATTTCAGTCTTCTTTTGCATTTTTTAATCTTTTAAAATATAAACAGGAGGCACAAGAATCTGAATGGGAAAATAATTCAAAGTATTTTGCCTATAATGGCCTGGAAATTAGGAGCAGTCCATTCACGGTCTCTGTTCAAACTGATTCCTATTTTGATCCAAATATGAAGCATACCCTTCTGAGAAAACCTTATGTTAGGAACAGAGCTCATAAGTATCCACTACTAGAACAAGTTCATTTGTATTCTCATAGCACTTCTTACTTTTGGAAGGCTGAAGGTGGCTGCACTATTACAACTATGAAGACTGATGTTATTTCTTAACTGTCTCTGTGACAAAGTTAAGTATTTTGAAAATACACAAGTACACTAGCACTAATGTTCCTGAGGAATTTCAGTTAAACTAACCCTTTCCTTGCATATATTAAAATACAAATGCTCATGCTGCATTCCTCACAGCGAATACTTTCGTATTTTGGGGGTGTGTTAAATTTAAAGCAACTCAAAGTATTCTTGTTACGGTGCATCTATGCTAGACAGTCATATCCTTATGACAGTAGAGGTACTGCATTAGAAGGTTCATTACTAAATTTACCCTGATTATATACTTTAGGACAGCAGACGCTTTACTATCACAGCAATAACAAATACTACCTAAGTAGTCAAGAAATCTAAACAGTATGAAATTTGCCAGAATTAATAGTGAACCTTCTTTGAAAGCAACATTATTCCATGGCCTTTACAAAGAGTCTTTTAAAAGAATGGGTAACAGTAGTATTACAGAAGAAAAAAGTGGAGCGTTCTTTCTCTGTAACTTTTGTGTGAGTAAGATCTCCTCTGTAAGCACAATGAAAGCACGTCGATCTCAGAGGAGATGAAATGTAATCTTATGCAATCACATTAGTAGCTGCAGGCTCCCAGTTGCCTAAAATGGTTAACACATTCTAAACATAACAATCACAGATCTCAGTAGATTGTGAGAGTTTGTAATAATCCTAGCAGTTCAACAGGACTTTCATGATATGGCTGTGGAACCCTGTGATTTGGGGTAGTGCAGGAGAGAGCTCTAATGACACAAAGCCATGATTTGTCACAACTGCAGAAAATGCATCTTCTGAGATTTGTATTCGGTCTCAAGTCCTGAAGATTAAAAAAAAGAATTATGTTTTTAACTGTCTCTGCAAGTAGTAATTACACTGTCTCAGGGATTAAGAGGTCTAGTTTCTGAATTGCTCAGAGAAAAAAGTACTGAAAGCGGCTTTAAGTTTGCCATCCTACTGGGTTTGCATTGATCCAGGTATTATTTGACTGGGTCTTTATTACAGAGAAGTATATAGACTTTCATGGTATGTTCTGATTACACCACTAGGTATGATTTTTTTACACTCTAGTTGGCAAATAAGAAGGAATTGAATGTTGTTCAGCTAGAAAATTTTATAAAACAGAGATATGCCTATTCAATTACAGTCTGTGCAAGAATCCAGAATTGGTAAAAACTATGTTAAGATCAGTGTATGCTTATGTAGAGATAGTGAATTTTCCCCAGGGGATCAAACATATGTGTCCACTCTCTGAACCAGCCACAGGACAGTACACATGATTGTACTGGTTCAAGAATCTTGCAAGCTGTGTGTGTCTTGCCCCTCCCCATAATACCTGAACATAAATGTATTTGTCTTCTGTGAAGAGATGGACAGTATTGCGATTTTGTTCTGTGTGTAAAACATCTAAGAAATTAATGGAAATTAATTTCTGAGCACTGTTGTTTTTCTTTCTGGAGTTTTATTTTCAAATCCATAGGTGACAGAGATTGAGCAGCACCGTTTTTCAAATGAAGGACTCTTTTTGTATTACCTTTTATTTCTTCCTAGTTGTCTTGTTACTCCTAACAATTTTAAATTCCTTTCTATATGGATACCTATGTTATTTGGGCTCCTTTTTAAAGAAATAGAGATTACTCCTTATATGTAGTCCTTGAGTCTTATTTTGAGTTTACCGCAGGCTACAGTATGCCACACTGGCATAATGCAACTATCTTGAGCCATCATGCTGAAGTCAGTAGAATGATCTTTAAGAGAAATAGAGCTTTAATGTTCCACATTAGGAAATGTCTATATGGATAGCATTAATGGGGATCCAGAGCACAACACATTTTAAAAATTCCAAATTCTAGTTTAATTTTTCCTCTTTTTAAAATAAATTCTTCTGCTTTAAAACTTGCAATTTCTGCATAAGGCAGTGTGAGTCACAAAGTTGGAGTAACTGGTCTCATTTTGTCAGTGATCCTCAGTTGTAGTTGTGAAAATCAGAAGAAATTGTTTATGCTTTGTGCAGGCAGCAGTTCAGAACCACTAGTAACTGTTCACAATAAAGTAAAAACAAGAATTTCCTACTCACTTTCACATTTGCGGAAGACATAAACTCCAAAAAAACCCCTTCCGTATCCATTATTAGTAGTAAAACCTCATTGTTTATAGTACTGCATACTTACTATGTCAGGAAAAATTACAGTTCCGGGTCTTCTAAAATATCTCATACTATGCTTTTATTTGAAATCAAGGTTGCCTTTCTCATCACATTTGGCATCATCATGGCAACAAAAAGATGGAATCATTGCACTGATCATGTCCGTTAGAACATTGATTTGACCACTCTGCTTCATGAAACTCATACTTTAACCTCTCTGAAAAGGAAACAACCTGGATTTTTGCCAGGTTGCAGGACAGGATAGAGGACCATGGCCACTCTTACTTTGAAAGACCTGTGGTCCAGACACCAATAATCCATGAAACCTACTGGAACTTTCACTAATGAAAACAAATTCTCCTTCCTTGTATCCATTTTTCTTGCCACGGTCAAAAAATCTTGGATTTATCCCTCTGTTTCTTCTGAGGGGGAAATATTCCATTTTTGCATTTGACTTTTTCTATTTTCCTTATCCCTTTGACTTGTTTTTCCATAGCCTTCATACTTGGTTCTATCTCAATTTAATTCTTGTCTTCTGCTTCTGTGAATTCCACAAATGTTCATTTAGATAGCTCTGACAATGAAGAAAAGAAAAACAGTCTTTTCTTTCTCAGATGGGTGATAAAGGGTTATCCAAGGCTTCTTCTATCTCCAGTACTAATCACAAAATCTGCCTCTTGTTGTATAACACCAGATCAGGACTTTTTTTTTTTAATTATTAACTATGTGGCCAGACAGTAAGATGCTGTGCCGTATTTCCAAAAATCAGGTCCTATCGATAACATAGCCAAATTGTGAGAATTGTGAGAATTGCTTCCCTGAAATCGTATTCATGGATGAAAATATCAGCTGTATATCAGGGATGTGCTAAACACCAACCGGTTTCTTACATAGGCAGATATATAAAACCCTGTTCGGTCCCCATGTGTTGCTTGATCTAGTTGAGAGGTGGCGTCCCTGATGGCAGTTAGGCTGGATTAAAATGATCTCTAAGGTCCCTTCCAGGTTAGGCCATTCTATGATTCTATTGACTCCTTTGAATTTCTCCAAAGAAACAAGATAAAAGAGATATACTTTTGGTTTCTGTTATTTCAATATAAAACTGAAATAATTTTACAGCAGTCTCAGACTTCTCTGCTGTTGAAAAAACAACTCAGAGCCTAATTGTATGGGCATTATTGTCATTATTACTACTACTACTATTGTGTTTATTAAGAAATTATTTCATATATATGGTGAAACAACAGAATGAATCACATTCCAGCTCTAATAGGAGGATTAAATCCAAACATAAAGAAGCAAGTAATTTCTAAGAAGACCTTTAAGTAAGATTGTTACTACAAAAAGGTTGTTCAGGAATGTAAAAAAACATTTTTATTTCTTCTCTCAAAACTGTCCATGCTTCTCCAATATATTCTTTCAATTTTATGGGTTGTTATTTAGAGAGCTGCATCCCAGAAATGCTTATCTTAACATCTACTATTTATGGTAGTATTGAATTTTCTTTCCAGACCTACTACCAAATGCTAGTAGG